GCACGCACGCACGCACGCACGCACACGCACCCGGCATGAGTTTTAAGCCACCGGGTCCGGGACGCGAACCGCAGTCAACTACGTGGGAGTCCAGCGACATAGCCATTATGCTAACTGCTGGTTCCCAGATCCCGTTTTTTTCAGCTTAAACACCTTTGCCTGCTGCTGAGGAGCTGGGTAACTCTCCCGTCTTCCCCGTCCCAACTTTTTCTCGTTATCAGGCCACATTACTGGCACTTCATGCATTCCCCAGACATACCCTCTCCTTCCTGCCTGCCCAGCCTCTGAATGCCATGTCCCCTTTGCCTGGACTTTGCCAAGCCTCTGCACCTTATACACTACTGCCCCTCACCAAAGCAGACACCTGGCTCACCTTGTTAAGAGTCAACTTCTCCAGAAGTCTAGGAGCTCCTGGTAGGAGGGATGGGCTTGAGCCCTGGGCCAACACAGGTTGGGATCCAAAAACTCGTCCTCTTTGCAGCCAGATCTCGGTGATTAGTGGGGGCAAGGCCAAGTGCTCCCAGTTCTGCACAACGGGCATGGATGGTGGCATGAGCATCTGGGATGTGAAGGTGAGCCTGCTCTACTTCCCACTTTCTGCCACACCCTCAGGGTTGACTCTTATTCCTGTGGTCTCTGGGAGCTATCCTGTATACTCCCCCATTCTCCACTCCTACAGGGAATACAGTAGACTGGGAGTGGGTGGAGTAACACACCCCTTTTAGAACTGAGAGTCAAACCCAAGTCTGCCAGACTCCAAAGACTAAGCTCTCTGTCCTGTGTTGGGCTGGGGGCTGAGGTGGTTGTGAAAAAGGTCCCTGGTGCTGGGGTATCTCCAGGACAGCTGAGGGCCATCCTGTCCATTCTGCCTCCTTGCAGAGCCTGGAGTCAGCCCTGAAGGACCTCAAGATCAAATGAGCTATGAGGAAGCTGTCGCCCTCATCCCAGCTGCTGGGGCAAGGGTGCAAGTGAGGGGGTCGAGGAGGCTAAAGATTGCTTTGCTGAGTATTTCTAGGGTAACTTTGGGTCCCTATGCAGACTGCTCCCTCAGAAGAGAGGAGAGCTTTTCTTACCTGTACAACGAACATGTGCCTTTTTCTAAAGGAACGCTTTCATTTATTGCAAAAAGAAAAAAGCCCCCAAAGCACTATGCTGGTCATAAACTGCTTCAAAATGTGGAAATAATAAAAATGCCATTGTGGACTCGTGTGGTGGAAAGACAGATTGGTTTTACATGAGTATAGTTTGTTTTTGCTGCTTGCAAAGGCCCAAGTACCTTACCCCCTAATGGTTCCTTTCTCCTACACTTCTGCCACTTTCCAAGCTGCCAGGAACAACCATCTTTCATGCCACTCAGTAGTCGGTTTCCTAAGCAAAGGGATCACATCCTGGGCTGGTTCTGGCCCTTCATGGAAACTTTTGTTTGATGTTGGGAGTTGATTTCTGACAAATGCTCACCATTTTTTAGGAAGGTATATCCATCCCCCACCTCCTCATTTCACTCAAAGGGTATTTTTGTTTGGTTTAATCATGTATTTTTTTTGTTACCTATTTATATACTTGTATTCTTTTTTTAAAAAAAGAATTATTTTTATTTAACTTTATTTATTTAAATTTAACCAGAGGACAAAGAAAGCAAGCCACCAGGTCTGGTACTCAAACTGTGGTCGGCCTTGTGGGAGTTCAGAGCGTATACTCCCCCATTCTCCACTCCTACAGGGAATACAGTAGACTGGGAGTGGGTGGAGTAACACACCCCTTTTAGAACTGAGAGTCAAACCCAAGTCTGCCAGACTCCAAAGACTAAGCTCTCTGTCCTGTGTTGGGCTGGGGGCTGAGGTGGTTGTGAAAAAGGTCCCTGGTGCTGGGGTATCTCCAGGACAGCTGAGGGCCATCCTGTCCATTCTGCCTCCTTGCAGAGCCTGGAGTCAGCCCTGAAGGACCTCAAGATCAAATGAGCTATGAGGAAGCTGTCGCCCTCATCCCAGCTGCTGGGGCAAGGGTGCAAGTGAGGGGGTCGAGGAGGCTAAAGATTGCTTTGCTGAGTATTTCTAGGGTAACTTTGGGTCCCTATGCAGACTGCTCCCTCAGAAGAGAGGAGAGCTTTTCTTACCTGTACAACGAACATGTGCCTTTTTCTAAAGGAACGCTTTCATTTATTGCAAAAAGAAAAAAGCCCCCAAAGCACTATGCTGGTCATAAACTGCTTCAAAATGTGGAAATAATAAAAATGCCATTGTGGACTCGTGTGGTGGAAAGACAGATTGGTTTTACATGAGTATAGTTTGTTTTTGCTGCTTGCAAAGGCCCAAGTACCTTACCCCCTAATGGTTCCTTTCTCCTACACTTCTGCCACTTTCCAAGCTGCCAGGAACAACCATCTTTCATGCCACTCAGTAGTCGGTTTCCTAAGCAAAGGGATCACATCCTGGGCTGGTTCTGGCCCTTCATGGAAACTTTTGTTTGATGTTGGGAGTTGATTTCTGACAAATGCTCACCATTTTTTAGGAAGGTATATCCATCCCCCACCTCCTCATTTCACTCAAAGGGTATTTTTGTTTGGTTTAATCATGTATTTTTTTTGTTACCTATTTATATACTTGTATTCTTTTTTTAAAAAAAGAATTATTTTTATTTAACTTTATTTATTTAAATTTAACCAGAGGACAAAGAAAGCAAGCCACCAGGTCTGGTACTCAAACTGTGGTCGGCCTTGTGGGAGTTCAGAGCCTTTAACCACCATGCCACCTGTCGGCCCCTGATTACATATATTTCTAATTATGAGACAGAAACTACAAGACCTCAAGACACAATGTCAGGCCATAGAACTCTCCGTACTAAATACGATCTCAGCCTGTACCGACCAGCTACAAAGTGAGATTTGGTCTCAGAAGCAATGTGACTATCACCAGGCCCTGCAGTGAAGGGCAAAAGAGCCACACCTTTTGTGGCGTGTTGCAGATAGGAAAATATGGGCCCAGCAACATCCAATCAGCATTCTCCTTCTCTAAGACCCTAAGCAATAAGTTCCCTATTGCTCTGGAAGCGGTCCCAGGGGCCTCAAGCAGTTGCTCTGCATGTCAGCTGGTATCCCTCATTACAGAAATGGGTACAGCTTCAGGCTTTAAAAGGAGATTCATAATGAAAATACTTCCTTATAGAAGGGAAAACATTACATGCATTGTTGGGGTGGGGCTGGGTCCTTCTCCCCAGAGTGGCTGAAGGTCCTAGAACAGGCAGAAGGCAACCAGTCAGGCAAGAAGGGGATCCTGGACCCTGCTCCATGTTGCACATCAACAGTGGTGGCTGGGCTTGCTGAACCTTTTTCTGGGCACTGCTAGGTGTTGAGGGAATGGTCAAGGGTACAGTCTGCCTCTAAGAAGCTCAAAATCTCAAGGAAGGAGATGATGACAACTCAATGTCCAGGAAAAGTGGGGGTAGGAACTAAGGGCAGGTTTAGGCAAGGAACTGCATGCACAAAGGGCTATAGCAAGAACGTGGCACCTTCAAAGACCTAAAAGAATATAGAGTACAAGTGAGGGTGTGAAGGTTTCAAGGACTAGCTCCTGACAGCCCTTGGCATCATGCACTCAGGCCTCTAAAGTTGAGGAAACAAAGCAAGCTTTGCATTCTAGAGACCAGACTAGAGGCCCATGAGGAGGCTGCTCCAGTTTGTAGGTGTGAGATGATGAACCAGAACGGTGAAAGTGCATAGGCCCTGAAGATTCACTCATAGGATGCAGGGGAGGAAGGACAGTGAGAGCTGAGATAACAGCCAATAACCTGGTCAGGGTGAATTTGGTGAATGGCGGGAGACAGAACTATAAGAGTCCTAATAGACACAAGTCACCTTGTCCCCAACCTTAGGAAGGAAGCCTTTTTATACCCATTTTAAAAAGAAGACTGAATACCAGAAACAGGAGTGACAGAGCCAGAATTCAAACTCAGGTTTGACTTCTGAGTCCCACTGCAGGGGCATCTGCTATAACTCTGAGTTTAGGTCTCTGTTGAACTGCAAGGGAATTTTCCTAGCCTGTGGGAACTTGTTGGCACGTCATTTGCATATCCAGGTGAAATTTGCTAAACCATACCCCTAAACTTGCAGACACCAAGGAAGTCCTTCCCTCTGGCTTCTCCCTAAGGCACAATGAGCCAGGGCCTTTCCTGGGCAGAGTCATACCAAGCACAGCCACTTTAGTCATTCACCCAGACCTCCAGCTTTACAAGATACTTACCTCATTACTGCACTGTCTCAGAGCCAACAATGTGGCACAGTAAACCTTGTCAAATAGCTACCACCTTCTTCCATCTTGTCAGAGAACCCCATTTTCATGGCCACAGACTTGAACCTGGACAACTGCTGACTTCCAGGGAAGGATGTAATTCCTGCTTCTCAGGGGGGTTTCCCTCTGCAGGCCAGGGTTTACAGGAGGCTGGAACAAGCTGCAGGTGCTGAAGTTGTGATTATCCTCCTGGGCTGTTGACCTCCAACATGGTCAGGTCTACAGGGGATGTGGCAGAAGTCATAGGGAGCCAGGGGCTATATTCCATCTCTGCCTAAGTCATTTGGTCTGACCTGGGGTAAAGCACATTATCCCTATCACCTCTGTTCTCCTATCCCCTACTTGGTACCCAGACATCAGACCAACTGACCTTTAGACACCTGTCACAAAGGATTCTGCTGTGCACAAGGTGAATGAAGTGCTCCCCTCCACAAGGGTGTGGGGGCAAAAGCTGTAGGGTTACCTTTCACTGGACCTGAATCCACAGGCAGCCTATCTGATTGCACAGTCTCTTTTCCCACTGCCAGTCCTTGACATCCAGGGCCAAAAGGGTTAAAAGAGCAATTCTCATTTCCTTGAGATTAATGAGGTGGCTCTCAGCTGGTGCTAGGCATCATCTCCTGGGACAATTCCTTCACAGAATTTCTGAGGCTCTTATCACTGGGGCACCTGGAGGCCGTAGACAGGTTCCTGTCCACTCTGGCAGAATCCCTACTGGGTTAGAGGGAAGGGGACAGGCTCTGGAGTCCTTCCCAGCTCTGATCCTGAGGTCTAATCCCTACACTCTGCTTGGTGCTGCTGGACGAAAATTTGCCCCAGCTAGGTATATGTCCTGTACCTGGCCAGGTACATCTGCCTCAACTGGGTGAAAGTGGCTTGGGTAGGGGAGCCAAAAGACAGATTACAAAACAAGGATTACGATAATGTCAAGTTTAATCTGCCAAATATACAAGTTGAGTTTGTAGAGCATGTTTTGCCTGGGTGCAGTAAACAGAGGTTTCTTGAAATGATCAATGGGTAGGGTTAAAAATGGACCCTGGCCCTGGCCAGGAAGGTGGGTATGGGACAGGGAAGGGCAGAGAGGAGAGACCTCAGTAAGAAGGGACTGACCAGGGATGAGCCACGGGCATGGGCACACCGATGACATCCCCTCCAAGTGAGCACCCAGGCAACACAGGTGGGCTGGTTGTCACAAACTGGTCAGCAGCTGCCCCTGGCACAACCACCCACTAACGTGCATATCTACCAGACATATGGGAGCTCCTCTTACCCCACCTCCCAGGCACCCCCCCAACAAGGGTTCTGAATTCTAAAAACAGCAAAAACATTCAAATGGTTACATATGAAATGCTTTCCTGCATCTTTCTGTCTCAAAGATAGCAGCTGCCCCTCCCCCAGCCCCCCACACTCCCTAAACAATTGCTGTGCCAAGATGAAGAGGAGGCCCCAGGCTGCAGGGGCCTCCTGGCCATGACGGGCTGCTGCAGTGGTGCCAGGGCAAAGGGTGGGCGAGACACGGCAGAGGTCCTGGCAGCATGGCCCAGTTCCCTGGCATCTCCTCCCACGGCCGTGCTTACTTATTCAGGGAGAGCGACTGCATCCGTTTTCCTGACAAAGTCGCATCGTCTTTTGCTGAGGGGTGGAAAGGAAAGGTTGGAGTGAGAACAAAACAAGACCACCCTTCCCTAACCCATGAAAGAACTTGAGATTTAAAAGGCCTCATTTAAGATTCTGCACAACTGGCTCCGTTGACAGAAGGGGAAGAGAGGAGACCCAAGGAGAGGACCCAGGCAGACACACCCTGCAGAAGAGGATTTCTGAAGCCACAGGACCCAGGCATCTAGATATTTGCAATGTGTTTGAGCAGCTGCCACCACCTTATCAGAGGCTGCTCCCCTTCCACAACGGCCCACCAACACATGATCTAGTGGGGCTTCTTACCACACCTTCCCAGGGGAATCCTATCATTTCAACCTTCCCCCAGTTCTGAAGTCTAGGGTCTAAAATCAGCAATGACATTCAAAGAGTTACACACAAGTTCCTTTTTTTTTTTTTTGAGAGATTTTCACTGTAGGGCGCGTGCGCTCACCAGACAGAGAGAGACATAGAGACAGAAAGCGAGAAATCACCCCCCAGGGGGGATGGTCACGCCATAATCCCTTCTCCTCCATTCTCCTCTCGGGATCTTGGGCATGCACGCACACGCGCCCGGCGTGAGTTTTAAGCCACCGGGTCCGGGACACGAACCGCGGTCGACTACGTGGGAGTCCAGCGACATAGCCATTACGCTAACTGCTGGTTCCCCACAAGTTCCTTTTCTGCTTGGGGTGTGTAAGGCAGAGCTGGGTAGAGGGTTGGGAAAAGCAGATCTCTAATGCAGGTGACAATGCTCCTGAGCAACTGATTGCCCATTTCTAGGCTTCAGTTTCCTCATGATCTGGTGAGGAGGTAAGTGGCTTTCATGGACCCCAGGAGATAGAAAGTCATTAGTCAAATGTTCCTATAAATCAGGTCAACTTCCCATAGCCAACCTGGCCTAGAGGAACCCTCTGCCACCTTTGGCCTGTCTGGAGGAAGAGTGTGGGAAGAGGGGCATTTGGGCCAGATTTGATCTGGGTCTGCGCTAGTGTCTATCCAGCACACTTTCCAAGTCCCTCGGATGTACACTGGTGACAGTGAGCTCACTCAGCTTCACAGGGCACCGGAGACCTCAGTACAACTTCAAGGCTCACAAGTCTGTATTAGGTACTTGGCTTCCTGAGGCCTACCACTGGTAGAGGCAGGGGCCATTCTTCTGTAGACAGTGCTCTGCTGATACGATGCCACTGGAAGGTAGTGGGCAGCTGCACCCTCTCTACCTGCACAGGTGAGCTGGGCCTCTACTGAAAGATCTGGTCAGCTGTCACTTCTTGCTCCACTGCCATCTCACAGACAAGGACACAGTCTAGGGCTTGGTGGCTTGCCCAGAACCAGTCAGGAAGCCATCCCGCACGCTGGCCGCTCAGCACTTACCTTTCCTCTCCTCTTCTTTCTTCCTTGCTGCTTCCTCCCGCTGTTTCCGGATGATTGCCAGCCGGGCAAGGTCAGCCTTGGCTTGCTCTGTTTTCCCAGCTAAATGCATTTTCATGTAGCGCTCTTTTGCTTTCTGCTTCTCAATTTCTTCTCTGTTTGGATAAAATGGTGTCACAGGGAACATCTTCCCCACTGTTACTCAAGCTAGACATGGGAGCGAGAATAAAGGCCAAGTACTCAGGCCTAGGGCCAAGATGCAAGAGGGCATTCTGGCTGAGGGAGGGCCCCTAGCTCTGTGTGGTCCTGTGTGATGGACATTTACCAAACAAGCAAGCAGAAGGAACAGGCCAGGCAGAAAACACCTACGACCTGGAGAAAGTCTTAGTTCAAGAATGGACAATGGCTGCAGGGATGCAGATGATGCTTGAGGGCTTTAGAATGGGGTGAGAAAGGGAACCAAAACCAAGTGGACTATGTGTCCCAGAGATGACAACCAGGAAGAAGACAGTGGAAACCATTCCATAAGTGAGAAAGAAGTGGACAGGACATGAGATGAGGGCCACAGGTAGGAAATGAACACAAAATATTCTTATGGTAGTTCAGATGTGCAAGAGGCTGCCTCCCAGGGGTGAGACTGAATTAATAGAGGTGTGGTGATAAAAGCTGGACTCCCATGGGACAAATCAACCCACTAGGAAGAGAGACTAGTGAAGGGCATTAGTCTTCCTTTGGGGATCTTATTCTCAAGCATGAGATTCTTTTTTGTTTGTTTAACACAGACTTTGAGAAGTAAATGCATTTATTTATTTATTTACTTATTTAAATTTGACCAGAGAGGGACAGAGAGAGAGAAAGTGAGAAAGCAAGCTGCCAGGCAGGTCCAGGACTGAAAGTGCAGTCAGCCATGTGTTAAGTCCAGCGCCCTTAACCACTATGCCACCTGCCAGCCCCTCAAGCTTGAGATTCTAAACTAGAGTGGATGCCCTTCAGAGAGTGACACTAGAGGTCTCATTTGCACTGGGGTCCTGGGAGAGCCACATGTTGGAGGAGGACAGAGACCCGTCTAGCAGGAGTTTGGGGGAGGAACTTAGTCTCCCCATAGGCGTTGCAATTTACAGGGCTGGGGAGTAATGAGAAACAAGGCATGAGGGCCCGGCTAGAGGGAAGATATAGAAATTCGGCCAACAGGAGTGAGATAAACAGCTCACTCAGGAGATTCTGGGAAAGACACCTGCTACACAGGTAAGGTGATAACGCCCATCAGCCCAGCAAATCCTATGTTAGGAGTGATGTGCTGAACTCAGAAGTCTCCAAGTTGAGTTTAAGATATGATAAACAAGGCTGCCGAAAGGCTAAGTGCCAGGCAGGGTGCTGGTCTTTATGGTTACCACCTCTGCAACCTCAAAGAGAAGACAGGCTAAGAAAGGGCAGTGACTTGTCTACAGCTCAGAGGTGGCAGAACTTGGGTGGGCACTAGAACTCCTCTGCTTTGGGAAAGCCAGCACCAAACCTAGGTTGTTGAGTTTCTGGGGATTCAATCCCAAGAAGGAAGCTACTTTGGGAGAGTCCTTAGCAACCTCTAAACACAGTCCCAGCTCATGGGCCTTCCCTGTTGAGTTTTCACAGACACAACCCTTAGCCACCATGGAGTAAGCACAAGAGGATAGACCAAATTCCCAGTAGCCTGGTCAGGAGAGATACCAGGGCTGCTTTCCCCAGTGATCTTCAATCTCTTAAAAGGTCCTACAGGTCACCAGGGGGCTATCAAAAGTCAGGGCAGCTGTGGCCAACAGGTGGTGTAGTGGTTACGATGCTGGACTCCCACAGGGTCAACCCGTTCGAGTTTTGGACACAGCGGCTTGAAACTCATGCTGGATGCATGTGCATGCCTCCCCAAAATCCTGAGAGGAGGATGAAAGAGAAGGGACTGCAGTGTGGGCATCCCTCTGGGGGGGGGGGTGATTCCTTGCTTTCTGTCTCTCTGACGAGTATAAACGCCCTATAGCAAAAATCTCTCAAGAAAAAAAAAAAAGGCAGGGCAACTTGTCTGTGCATACACAAGATCCTGGTGGGACAGAGATCTGGAAGAAAAGGGATTGCAGCATGAATGGCCTTCCTAGGGAATATTCTCTCCTATGCGGGGTGTGTGTGTGTGTGTGTGTGTGCATGTGCTATCATGCATTTAAAACAAAACTTAAAAGATAGCTACTTAAGAACTGATTGTGGGGACCAGCAGATGGCATAATGGCTACATTACTGGACTCCCATGTAGTTGACCACGGTTCGAGTCCCAGACCCGGTGGGTAAACTCATGCCAGGCATGTATACGTGCATGTCCAAGATCCCAAGAGGAGAATGGAGGAGAAGAGACTGCAGCGTGGCCATCACCCCACCAGGGGTATGTGTGATTTCTTGCTTTCTGTCTCTGTCTTCCTCTGTCTTTCTGGCGAGTGCACAAGCCCTACAGCAAAAACCTATCCAAAAAAAACCTGATTATGTACCAGGCACTCTGTGTGGAACTTGATCTCGTTCCTCACGCAACTTACAATGAAGACATCTGCATCTGTTTTCACACATGACCCAGAGGCCTGGAGCAACTGGTCTAGTTGAAACTTCCCTATGTTGGGCTGGGCTGCCTTCTGGCTGGCACAGGCCCTTAACCCCATCCTAATCTCCATGTCCATGGCACTACAGGTGGCTGCAGACCAGGAATGGGCAGACCAAGCTGGATGAGAGAATTCTCCCCCAGATGGAGTGCTCTGCAGGAAAGGCATGGGAGATTAACCCCTGTATTCTGGGGCCATTACTTCAAGTGCCCGCTCAGGTCTGAAATTGCTGCTTTGTATTCCCTGGTATCAAACAGAAATACACATAGCTAGGTTCCCACCCAGCCACTAGGGACCTCAGAGCCCAAGAAGCCAGAACTGAGAAGCTGAGCATCCCAGCAACTCACAAGCTGACCCTTCCCCACTACCTGGACCGTGTGCCCAGGTCACAAGGCCTGGCCAGCAGAAGTTACCGTTCTCTTCTTGAAAGCTCCTTTGGCCCGTCCAGATCTAGTTGTGTGACCTTTTTGGTTGTCTGTGCCACCCGGTTGGGGTTCTCGATGTCGATGAGCCCTTCTACACCTTTGCGTTTTTGCTAGGAGAGGGCAAGAAACTTGCTGTTGGACAGGTTTAAGTCCTGAAGAGTCCCTAAGGTTACTCCCACCATCTCCAACAGTACACCTGAATGGAGACAAACTCCTGTTCCACCCTAGCCCACATGCTGTTTGTCCCAAGCTGCACTCAGCACTCAGGACTATCTTCGTAAGCCTGAGAAGGCAAGGAAAATGAGAACATGTTACCAGTGTTCAACCTAGGCTGAGCCCTAGCAACCAGGGGCCATCATCCCAGCTTCAGAGGTTACAGAATGGCAGTTCAGAGTTAAATAACTTGCCCAAGGTTATCCAAGATGTAGACAGTAGATGAGATGTAAGCTGTGGTCCAACTCAAAAAGTCCCAATACAGAGCACTACTCCCCCAACTTCAAGCTCAGCTTCCAAAAGCAGTTTCCCACAGAATCCCCTGCCCAATATATCCTACAACAAGCACGTGCAGGGTTCCCAGCGGGAGGGTGGACCAAGGATATATGCTCTGATGACCATTTCCAATTTCTACATATCTCAACTCATGATGGGAAATGTAATGAGAACAAGCCACTGAATCAGTCTCTGGATTTGGCGAGCTAACCCAAGGACCTGGAGCTTGCACCTCTCACCTCCCCTCAGGAAGTTCAGGAAGAAATGACAACACAAGTTCTCAATGACATAGGTTGGTCAAAGTTGCACACCTTGTCAGTCCTGGCTTTTCTCAAATGACCATGGCAACAGCCTCCAAATACGAATCTACCTGACTGCTCTACAGAGTTCCAGAGGCCTATCCCCATTCTGGCTGTATTTATGCCTCTACTCAGACGCCTGATGTTGCGAACTTAACAAGTCTAAACAGAACTCGACATTCACCTCTCAGCTAACCTGCTGCTCCTCTCAATTCTAGGCATACCCTGATTCCCTATTCCTTTAGCACTCCCCAAATGTGGCTTGACTCTGTCCATCTTCTCTACTACCAATGCAGCCACTCTGGCTCAAGTTATAGTTTTCAGGTTTTACCTGGACACATGTACTATATCCCTACCTCCACCCTCAATAACCTAGCAAATCTGGCCATCTCTCTCCCCCACTTCGAGGCCTTAGCCCACTGCCCATCACGATGAAATCCAAACCCTTTCAACAACTACAGAAGAGCTGCCCCTGCCAACCTCTCCTTTATCTCAAACTACTCCACTCCTTAGCCATTAAGTCATGGCCCCACCAGTCCCTTTCCTTGAGTATGAAAAGCCTGTTCCCACTACAGGACCTACTTTGAACTTGCTAATCTCATTGTTAGTCACAATTCATGTCAATTTTCTTATGTTCATTTTACAAGTCATCTCATTACCACAACACTATTTCAAATATCCTCAACCATAGTCTGTTTTATATGTAATACTCATCACTACTTGAAATTGTATTATGGGCCAGCACTGTAGCCTGGTAGTTAAGGGAACCAGATCTCACATGGCCAACTGCAGTTTGAATCCCGGCTCCAGTGGCTTGAGAAATATGCTGTGCACATCTATGTGCGTGCCCAAGGTCCCAACACAATGAGGAAATGGAAGAGAAAGGACTGTGGTATGTCCACGTACTATTAGGGGATGCTTTCTCCCTCCCCACCCCCACAATTAGAAGGAAAAAAATAATATTATTTCTTTATTTCTATATCTCCCCATTAGAATGTGAACCCTTAAGAGCAAAGGATTTGTCTGCTATCTACCAATGGGAATGGAAACAGTCACTCAATAAATGTTTATTCTACTGTTGAATGAATGAGTCCAAACCCCCATCAGACTCAGTACCTGATAGTCATCTTCTTCATCCTCACTCTCATCTGAGTCTAGAGATTTCTTCTCCTTTTTGGGGTCACCTGCAGCCCCATCTCCACCTTCTTCTTCTTCTTCCTCTTCTTCCTGTTTCAGAAACGGACAACCTGCAGAATCAAAAATGAAAAACAAGCCCCCAAGACTGTGACCCCCACTACCACCCTCAGGCTGTGGACCTTGAGAAAAAGCCCCTGGAAGGCTGAGACCAAGTATGACAAGGGTCCTACTCTGTACCTGAGCCCCAAGGTAAGGAATCTGAGTCAGAGGCAGGCAGCCCATCTACTCAGTATCATGCCTAGAGGCCATTCCCAGTCTAGCAAGCCCTTCATATAGCCACGAAACACCCTGCCCCCCTTCCTAGCCTATCCACCTTGGGCAGCCTAGGTGAGAAGTTCATCATCTCCCAGGATGAGAAGGACTTAGTCATGGGGCTGAAAACCACAGTCCTCTTCTACTCCTCCAATACTGAATGCAGCTGCCAAATTGTACTTGTTTTCCTGGCTAAGTATCCTACTTCCCACTCTCACATTCAGTGGAAGGTTAGCTACCCCAAACTACCCATGCACGTACCAGGGCTACATCAGCTTCTTAAGACAGAACTTTGGCACAAAGCTTCCTTCCATGTTCCTTGCCCTCCCATCACGAAGTTCCCTTACAAAAACTGGGTACCCACCCCTCTTAGCACTTGCCCACATACTCTCTAAGGTCCTGTTCAGATGCTCGCCCCTCTATGAGTTCCTCCCAGACTGCCAACCACATGTGGTCTCTTCTTGGGGTTTCTGGGGCACACACTTCACAGCTATGCACTTGTCTGACCCTATGCTCCCTTGGGCCCTTAATCTAGTCATTAATCTCCTGTGGTGGTAAGGGATGCAGGCATCAACAATGATGGAAACATTTTCTTTTCTTTTCTTTTTTTTGGAGAGGTTTTTGCTATATGGTGCGTGCGTTCACCAGAAAGACAGAGAGAGACAGAGAGATAGAAAGCAAGAAATCACTCCAGGGGAGATGGCCACACCGCAATCCCTTCTCCTCCATTCTCCTCTCAGAACCTTGGGTGTGCATCTCCTCCATTCTCCTCTTGGAACCTTGGGTGTGAATGCACACACGCCTGGCGTGACTTTAAGACACCGGGTCCAGGACTCGAACCACCATCAGCTACGTGGGAGTTCAGCAACATAGCCATTATGCTGTCCCAGAAACATTTTATTTCTTAACAGAGAACTAGATAAAGTACCATGGGGACAGAATAGGAAACTACTAAGTCAGCTTGAACTGGAGGGGGAAAAGTAGGTAGCATCAGTAAGAGTTACAGCAAAGATGACATTTAGCAATGTCTTGATGAATTAATAACCCTTTGCTTATTGGGGGTGTGGGGAGGCAGGGCAACATGTGCTGTCTGGTAAATACTCCTGTATGGCTACAGCAGGTAAGTGAGAGGTGCTGGGAGCTTGAGTTGTGATTGGATAGAGTCTGGTGATGAGCCCTGGAAGGCAGGTACACAGGACTCAGAACAGAGACCTATTAAAGCAGCTGCTGCAAGTAAACAAAGTTCTTTCAAATCGATCTAGTTAAGAGGATAGCTCCCCTCTAACTGTCACTGATTGTTTGGGGACAGACATGCTGCCCTTTTCTATCATCCATGCTGGCTTCTTCCTGAGAATTGAGTAGTCTTTGCCTGTCCTCTCTAGGAGCCAGGGCACCACCCAGGGCCCCCAGAGTAGCATGGACAGGCATGTACTCACCCTGGCCTTCTGCTTCTCGGCCTGAAGCTGTGCGTCGATCTCCTCAGGGCTTGTGTACTGCCTTGCCCGGCCTTTGTGGCCTCCCTTTCTCCCTGCACAAGGATCAGCAGTTTAGGAAAGTGAGAGGGAAACAGCTGCCTTGACTGCCATGACCCCAAAATAGTGTCCTGCTTGGGGTGCTCTCATCAGAGACTACAGAGACCTCATCTAACCTTTACCAAGCACCCCCAAACCTACATATCCTCACCCCATATGTTCAAAGGGACACAAGAAACAAGTGACCATCTGCTGCATTACCAAACTGTGTGCTGGATGCAGGCTCCCATGAATAAGACCTGAGACTCTGGGGGATGGTGTACCACACAGAATGACTGCCTAAAAGCCTTGATCCCTTAGAATCCAAATATGGATGACTCAGATGCAAAAATGAAAACACGTAACACCGTGCCCTGCTATCACTAAAGGGCCTTTTACTTGCAATGCTCTGCAACAGCCGTATGTTCATTTGACCCTCAGAACAAACCTAATGTGCTAGAGTCTTTGCTGGTCCTGTTACATAGACAAGTGGACTGAAAATTCTGTGCTTGGGGTAAGAAACATGACTGGCAAATAAAGCTAAAGCTGAAAATAAACCGGACCAAAGCCTAAGAGTTAAAAAAACGTCCCTAGTCGGACCAGCAGATGGAATAACAGTTACATTGCTGGACTTGCACATAATTGACTACAGTTCAAGTCCCAAACCTGGTGGCTTAAAACTACACCAGGTGCATGTGCGTGCATGCCCAAAATTCTAAGAGGAGGACAAGAAGGAATTGCGGCATGGCCATCACCTTGGCGGGGTGATTTCACGCTTTCTGTCTCCCTCTCTCCCTGACAAGCACATGCACCTTATAGCAAAAAATCTCTCTCTCTCTCTCAAAAAAAAAAAAAAGTAGCTAGCAATTAAAGTTCATCTAAGAGCATCAGTTTTTTAAAAGAATTATTTTATTTATTTATTTATCCAGCATTATCATTTTTTCAATTTGACCACAAAGCAACAGAGAGAGATAAAGCAATCCACCAAGTCTAGGACTTGAACTGTGGTTGGCAACGTGGGAGTCCAGCACCCCAACCACTATGCCACCTGCCAAACCCAGTATTTTACTGTAACTCTCTCTCTCTTTTTTTTTTTTTTTTTTTGAGAGGTTTTCACTATAGGGCACGTCAGACAGACAGAGACATAGAGACAGAAAGTGAGAAATCACCCCCCAGGGGGGATGGTCACGCCGCAATCCCTTCTCCTCCATTCTCCTCTTGGGATCTTGGGCACGCATGCACACACGGCCGGCGTGAGTTTTAAGCCACCGGGTCTGGGACGCGAACCGCGGTCGACTACGTGGGAGTCCAGTGACATAGCCATTACGCTAACTGCTGGTTCCCTGTAACTCTCTCTTAAGTCAGGACACTTGATTGACCCTGCTAAAGCCATCCCCTCTGCTGGTCCTGGAAGGTGCAAGAGTAGCTACGGCTTTGACCCTCACATAAGACCTCTCTTGGAAGTTGAGGCCTAATTGGTTTCCAGAGTCTCTGTGAACAGAGAATCTCATAATTAGACAATCAGAGCTACTCTGGACTCCAGAGACCATAGCACAGACACTGGTCTCTCCTGATTTCCTAGACAGCAGCTACAGAGTCACAATTGGCCTGCTAAAGGCACCACCCATTTTTAATGACTACTTGGGTTCCCAGGAGTGTCTAAGTCTATGCTCATGAAAGACCTTTGGTGACAGATCAAGCTTGCCCTTGAAAAACCAACACCCTTTCTTAGCCTCTTAATATTCCAGACAATAGTAACAGCTCAAAATTGGTTACTATAGGCTCAAATCAAATACAGTTAGCTGTGAAATACTAACCTTGTCTTGGTCTACAGGAACTCTTATCAGAGGGTCTCCCAAGTCATTTTAAATGCTTCACAGTTAGGATAATGGACCAAAAAGCTAGTCCTTTGCTCTTGGAAAATTTTATACTTTTAACACCTTCATGTTTTCTTGCACTTTTCAAAAATAATTAACTTAAGTAAAGCAATGTAAACCTTGCCAGTCATGTTTCTTACTCCAAGCGCAAAGTCTGAGCCTGCCTGCAAAGCTTCTCATAAGCCAAAAGACCAAGTCATTTACCAGGAATTCATATTTAAGATTTTCTAACTGAAACCACCAAGCCTGGCCCAAAGTATGCAGTAAGACACATTCTGGAGGCAGAACGCTAGAACCAAGGCTCATTCAGCACTAGCCCTTTTATAGATGAGGAGACTAGGAAACAAGACATGGCTCTTCTAGCCACAGAATAAATGAGCAAAGGGATAGTTTAAAAGATTTATCTCTGTAAAGCCCAGTATCTCTGGCCACAGAATAAATGAGCAAAGGGATAGTTTATTTCTTGAAGTAGAATCAGGGAGTGATTAGGACTGAACAAGATCCAAGCAGATGTTCCTGTGGGCTAAGTGCATTAACAAATGTAACAAACACACTAGTTACCAATATCAAGTGAACATCTGTTCTGTGCAATGACCTAGCTAGAAACTCTGTGAGCACCATTTTATAATCCCTATTTCCAACTTGCCAGGTATCTTAAATGAAGAAAACAGGCCTTAATATGTTAAATAACTTGTTCAAGGCCACAAAATTAAGACAGTGAGAGAGCTGGGATTCAAACCTGGGACTACCCATTTTAAAGTGGGAAAAGTATGGAGATGAGCTATGCCGTACTGGAAAGTCAAGACCCTTCCTAAGAGCTGGCAAAGCCTTACAAATAGTAAGAGTTCATGCTTACTGGGACTTAACCATCGTGTGGTACTGTACTGGGCACTCCACGTGGACTACCTACTTTACGCTTTGCATTAGTACTGTGAGGTAGGTACAATCATTATCCTCTCACTGGCAAATCAGAAGACAGATACAAGGTTAAGAAACTCAAAGAACTGAGCCGCTACCAAACAATCAAAGCCAGGTCTGCCAGGATCAAAAGCATTATGTGTAGTCTTTAATTAGGCAGGCCTGGCTGGGCCGCAGCCAGAGAAGGCCCACGTTTTACGCGCTAGGCAGGCGGGCCCGGCACAATCGCGGGACGCGGTGACTCAGTCCCGAGCCAGCCTAGAAGTAGAACAGTCCAGACTCCCCCCCACATCCCGCCAGGCCTGCAGAAGCCAGCACCAAATCTGGTTTTCCGCGCCGGCGAGGACCCAGAGCCTTTCCATCTCCTCAAATGCTGAAGGGTGTGGCTCCAGGCCACCACGGTCCTCAGTTTCCCCCTCCGGACAATTGGGCGTCGAGGCCCAGGCCTGGTTTTCAGCCGGTGCAGCCAGCCTCCACCTGCGCCGCTCTCCGAGACGCCTGCGGGCTGAGAGGACAGCGGGAACAAGAGCAGGGCTGCCCCTTGAGGCCGTCGAACCACGCGCGCCCACCTCTCACCTCCTTTAGGCATCGCGGCTCCGGCGGCTGCGGCGGCGGCGCCTAGAACTGACACCGGAACCGGAAATGTCTTAGGCTCGACTTCTTCCGCCCGGCCCAGTCCACTCCGCGGGAGGCCGCCGCCGTCGCCTCGAGGACCGGGACCTCAGAGAGGCCGTCGCACGAATCTGGGCTGTCCCGCACGCCCCGTCTGCGCGCTTAGAGAAACGCGTGGGTCTGTCATCCACCCCCCGCCTCCGGGAAGTGAAGAGAAAGGGCAACAAGAGGCTCTGGAATTCTATACAGGCCGAGCTTCGGACACCTAAGATGACGCAATCGCTCTGTGAACGGGGCGGGGCTCTACGAGGACCACATCCTGAAGAGAACGCCTGAGCGGAAGCCGTCAATAGTGTAGTCGGCTGGCCCAGG